TTTAACATTATAATCAAGGTATATTTTCAAGATTTTTTAGAAATGTTCATAAATTTGATTTAATGCACATCCTCAACTCAAAATAATATGCATAACTTGTCCCATCAAATGTATACATTAGAGCTATGCTAAAAATATTCAATAAATAGAATAACCCCTAATTTTTTTGTATGTCAATGTATAAATATATGTATATACACAATCATACTTTCTATTATTMTTCTAATATTTTATTACAACTAACATTATTTTTAAATACATATATTTCGTTATCAAGTTAGGTACTAAATAGATTTAATATTTATATCATTTATGCACCTTGAAATTATGAATATAAATTAACTTTTCATTTGGCACCTATACTAACTGAATTTTTGAATAAAATTCAAGTTACATGTTTTAGTAATTACCTACTGTTTTTTTTTTTAAGGATTTTGTGGGACAAAAACATGCTGAATATTTATTTAGAACCATTATTACTATGTGCGGGGTAAGTTCTTATTATACTTAGAAAAATAAATCATATTATTGATATTAATACTTTTTTTGTTTGTATACTTGACAGTTTGTTGGTTTTATTTTGGGTTATGTAAAAGAGCAATTTTCAATCACAATTGGTCTAACATTAATTGGATTTGTTGTTTCTGCTTTAGTAAGTAAATTAACTATACATATTTGATATTATTAATACATGATGATTGCTATTGAAAAACTAAGTATTCAGCTTAAAAAAAAATGTATTAAACTGAAAAATATGTTTATTATCGATAAACCAATGCTCTTGTTTAGCTGTATTTTTGTTAATCAAGTTATTCAACATTTAAATTCATATTTTAATTTTATCATTCATATCAGATAATGTAATATTTAATAATTTATACAGTAGTAGTCAGATAATTTGGCACAAGCAGGATAGTTTTTAATTGAATGTTAAAAATATACCATCAGTTTTAAAATTTTTAGTTACAACTGTAATTAGATTATTAATAATTCAAAATATAGAGAGAACCACAGGTTTATGTTTCCGCCATTGTATTAAATTATCTGACAATAATGGTAATGGAAAGTAGATGCTAGTGTACACGTATCTACCGCATATGTGTGCTCTACCTGTGATCTACCCATTAYCTACTAACCAGTTCTTTATATAAATACATTATACATATATATTTACTTAACTAACGATGACTAAATTGGCTAAAACGAAACTTATGTGTGGATTTTTTAAATTTTATATTTCCAAAAACAAGCAGGTAGATCGCACACTACACTAGCACCGAAATGTATACTGAAACCAAAAACTGCAGTTGATAGCATAATGAACTGGTACTTCATTATACTAAATATTAAGCCCTTTAATGTTGCATTGTAATTATGATTATTAAACAATTGAACTAACTTTTTTAACAATAACTAAAAACTAGAAATACTTATTTTCTAAAAAAAAAATTTATTTTTAGCTGACAATTCCACCTTGGCCTTTTTATGCTCGTAATCCACTCAAATGGCAAAAAGTAAAGAAAGTTAAGAAAATTGAAAATAACCTTACCTATGATGAGTACAAAGAAGATAAAAAGAAAGAAAAAAAGAAGATAAAGTGAACTAGTTT